AAAAGCATGAAGAACAGGATGGGAGCACATGCAATATCCTAATTATTTCAGAACTAATTAAAATGCCATAGATAAAACTAATTACTAATGAAGGAGGGAATGTAATTAAAACCACAGTGATTTAATACTTACAGAAGATAAAAAATGGAAGTTGATGCCACTAAATGTTAGGAGTTAGAGCAATGGAAACAGGTGTGTGGCACAAAAGTTGCTTTACAGTTGTTTGTATGAAAAATAATACAAGAATTAATAAATAATACAAGAATCAACTCTGTTTCATGTACTCACAACTGTAAACCTACTTTTGCCCACCCTATGTATTTGACAATATCTAGTAAAGTTGAAGATACCACATCATTAACCCAGCAATTTTACTGTTACACATGTCCACTAGATAACAAAATGAGGTTAGTTAGAAGCATTTTTGTAATAGCACACAATTAGATGTAATATGAATGTCCCACAATAGTGAAATGGACAAAATAATCATAGAGTGTCAATTCAGTGGTATCCGATACAGAGTGAAAATACATGTACTGCAATATGGATTAAATTCACAGATATGATTTTAAGTGAAAAGAAGCAGTTTGATCAAGAATAGGTAAAAGACTTATCTAAACATTTTAAAAATGAGAACTATGTATTATTAAAGGGTATCAGGTCTATGGTAAAATTGGAGATGAATACAAGCAAATGATAAACCCAAAACTCAGGGTAAGGCCCGTGGCATCGGGCAGGAAGCACCTACAGGAGGCGAACATAGGGCTTCCGCATCAATTCTGTTTTAATTTTTTAACTGGCAGGAGTGCAGGGGAGTTTTTATTCTCATGCTTTATAACTTGCATATGTGTCCCAGTATTTTATCTGTTACAAGGATTTCCTTACTTAAAAATGAAAGTCATTGTTTCCGTCTATATTCTTTTTGCCAGACCACTATTAGCTGTTCTTATTAAATGATAAAAGCTTATTAAATTAAACATTTCCCACCAATGTACTTAACATATGCTGCTTCTTTTCCCTTAAATATCCTCTACTTCCTCATCAATTTACTTATTATGGGAATGTTCCCTTTGGAACCTGGTCCAGGTGTCAACTCAAACATCTATGACCTTCCTAAATTTTAATGTTCTCATTTTTAACATTAAGACAATAGTTCTTAGCTCACAAAATTGTAAAGTTTTAAAAAAGATTACAGATATCTTACTGAAATTGATATTAATAGTAATGTATTCAGATTTTTTTCACCAAACATGTGTCAAACATCTGCTGTGTTACAAATGCTGTAGGGGGTTAAAGCAGGTAAGATATAATGTCTCTTCTCAAGGAAGGAGCTGGTCATACAACTAGACCATACTGCCGTAAGGGATGGCGTTGTGGAATATGAACAGTGTTAAAGAACCTCATGGGAGAAAGGAACTAGTTCTGTAAACCTTGCTCAAGAAGGTGGTGGAATAGCCCTGGCCAGGTGGCTCAGTTGGTTGAGCATCATCCCCTCCACCAAAAGGTTGCAGTTTTGATCCCTGGTCAGGGCACATGCCTACGTTGTGGGTTTGATCCCCAGTCAAGGCATGTATAAGAGGTGACCAATCAATGTTCTCTCTCACATTGTTATTTCCCTTTCTGTTTCTTTTCCTTCCTTCCCCTCTCTCTAAAAAAAATCAATAAGCATGTTGTCAAGTGAGGATTTAGGGGAAAAAAGAGGTGGTTATATATATATATATATATACACACATATATATATACATACATATATATATATATATAAATGATTTTTTCATAATGAGACTCTAATGATTTTTGTCAGTTTGTTCACGTGTATGCAGAGTTCCTCTTCATCTTTCCCACTTCCAACTAAACACTCCAAGTATTTCGGGTGAGTCACCATGCCCCCTGAGAAACGTGAGAGGCTCACCCATCCCGTACCCTAGCCTCCCTCGCTCCCACTTCCATCCAGGGGAAGCCATCTACTGTTGCCTGTTGGCAGACAAGATGAACAGATTCCCTTTTAGCCTTGTCTAGACTTGGGCAAAGTAAGTGTCCTAAAAATGTCAAGTAAATATTTTTTTGGAATGGTATGCCTCTCTGAATCATCTGGCTTAATTAGACTGGTCATTTTGATTCCATTTTTTATGTGACCAAAAAAACCAATATCTGACGAATTTACTGACCCAGAGAGAAACTTCTCGGAAAAAGCTAATACACACTGGACCCCAGCTCCTGTAAGCCACAGTACTAATTTTTCTATTACAGAATGATGCCCTCACCACTGCAGATTTAGAAACATGTTAAAACTTTCTAGTTTATTAAAATCTTTGGAGACTTAATGGGGATTTAATGGAGGAAAAAAAAAACCCTATGTGTAGCTTCTCCAGAGGTTCTTGAAAGCTCAGTTTACCGGTAAAACTTTAAAAAGGGATGTGTATTTTCTTGTCTTCTAGAATATCTCTTTAAAAAACATTAGTCAGGCCTTGCATAACCCTTCCCTTCATCCTCTGATGGCCTCTTAGAAAAAAAATCTAAAATTCTTTCTGTGGTTTAGCAGATCACTACCTATGGCCCAGCCACACTGCCTTCTTGTCTGTGTTGAAATGATCCTGCATGTTCTCAAAGGCCAGGCCCTATGTGAGCTCTTCCTCTGACAGAATCACTCTTGCTCAGATGTTTCCTGAGCTCTCTTAGCTCACTCAGACTTCTGCTCGAATCTCTTCAATTGCTACCTCCTCAGAGAAGTTTTTCCTGCTCACCCTATTTAAAGTACAATTCAGATCGCTTTCTGTAGCTAATTCTGCTGTATGTTTTTTCATACTATGTCACTGTCTGACATTAGTATGTATGGCAGATTTTTTATGCTTGTTCTCTTCCTCTCAAATATAAACTCGAAGAGAACTGGGGTTTGGTCTCTATCCTGGTGCTTGCTACCTAGTGGTGTTCAATAAATGTTTGCTGAATAAAGGAAAGAGCATATATTTCTGTTGCCTACAAAGGATAGGGTTAAAAAAAAAACAGGCTTTGTGGTGCTAGCCTTGGTGGTACAACACAGAGGTTCAGAACTGGCCATCAGATCTGGGCGTATTAGGCAAATGATTGGGTAGATCTGAGCATCAGTCTTCTCTGACCAAGTAGATCAGACCAAGGTTGATAAGATCAAAGGTAATAAAGAAGTGGTAATGTTTCATGAATCTTAAAATCTTCATATAATTATTGCCACCTCTTTAGACCACCACCTATTTTTTCCCTTTAATCCTCACCTGAGGGCATGCCTATTGATTTTTTTAGAGATGAGGAAGGAACAGAGAGAAAGAAAGAAACATCAGTTGTCTCTTGTACATGCAAATATTTCAAATAGAAGAGCAGCTATTCAAATTAAAATTTACAACTTTTAGAACTAGAAGAACTCTCCTAAACTTCTAACAAATTTACAATCATTCTTAAAAGGAAAAAATGCAATGAAAAAATGAGTTGAAAAGCTCTTATAAGACAACAAAATATATTTCCACATACACATGCATTAAAAATGTAATTGCAAGCATTGCTTTCTTGTCTCTTAAATTTTAGTCTTTGTAAAATTAGCTAGGACTTTCATAATGCTTCTTTCGCTGAGGAATAGGTAGATATGCCAATCTCAACTGGTTACAGATTTTAATTTCATAATATCCCCAGCCATGTATTATAATCCTTGTGAGTCATTCTATGTCTGTAAAAGAAAGCAATAAAATCCCACTTCAAATTAGGCTGTTTCAATTCCCTTTTTCTAAGAAGGAAATCCTTGCTGTTGTGTGATAAATGTTGAAGAGCATTAGTAAAAACTTAAATGTCTAAAAGGTTTACTTAAGGTAAAAGTGAATATTTTTAGCATTTGAATGAATAAATGAGGGCTGAATTTTAGTTCACTGACTCATACTTTCCTAGGAAAGGTCCTGTTTTGGTATGCTAATCTTACTTATTTAGAGGTTTAGCCAAGATCATTGACATACTATTGAGATAGTGTGGGAAATGATGCTATTAAAATGTGCATGGTGAAGTCCAGGTATAATTTGTGTGTCTGTTTACTTCAGGGAGGTAGAGGGCGTTTTATTAATAATATCAGTATGCATTGAAGATAAAAAGTATGTGCTAAATAACCCCCATGGAAGGAAATTAACTGTTCGTTCTGTGGGGCAGGGTGTCAGTCAGTCATATAAACTGCCTCAATTCAGTGCGTGGGTCTTCTGTTGTTCCAGCCAATTCTTCCTGTCTCTATTCTGTGCACAGAGTTCATGGATAGTCTCAGAAAAGTGGAGTGGCCTATTCTGAAAAGACAGAGGAAGGCAGCAAAGACTGCCGAGCCCTGGCTGTTGAGGCTTAGTGGATTGAGCCCCGACTTCAGAACCAAAGGGTCACCAGGTTGATTCCCAGTCAGGGCACATGCCTGAGTTGCTGGCCAGGTCCCCGGTAGGGGGCACTTGAGAGGCAACCACACATTGGTGTTTTTCTCCCTCTTTCTTCCTCCCTTCCCTTCTTTAAAAATAAGTAAATAAAATCTTTAAAAACGAGAGACTTTCAAGAATGTTAAATGCCTCTTCTTTTCAACCGTAGTCCCTTTCCCAAACTCTCAATTATGTTATTATTTTTTCTTCTGTGATGGAGCTTTTAAGTCCATTATTTCACCCTTCTCTTCTCTTCCCTTCCCTTCCCAGTGAGTACCACCACTGATTTGAAAATTATGTTTGTCCTGCTGGCCCTGAGCTGCTTCATGTGTTTTTCTGGTCTTCCCTTGCCAAAGCATTCCTCTAGGGGCTGTGGGCATAGAGATTCGTTCACAGAAATTTCTCCAGTGTAATTAGATTTACACTGGGCCCTATAAAAGAATGAACAAGAGGGTCTGTGTGTGTGTGTGTGTATGTGTGGTGTGAAGGAAGGGTGAAAGTGTAGAAAGAAGACTGGAGAAGTTAGGGGGACTCTTAAAAAGGAGCATGAGTTTTATTGTGTCTGAAAATTTCTTTGACATTGCTTTTTTCCAGGTTGACTTTGGATTTGCTAAGAAATTAGGATCTGGACAGAAAACGTGGACGTTCTGTGGGACCCCGGAGTATGTAGCTCCAGAAGTCATTCTCAACAAAGGCCATGACTTCAGCGTGGATTTTTGGTCCCTGGGAATCCTAGTTTATGAGCTCCTAACGGGCAAGTAAGTCCTTCAAGTTGTGTTCAGCCTCTTCTTCAGAGAAGTGTAAAAATAAGTACAGAATAATAGAAATATATATATAAAATTTAAAGTTTAATGTTTTAGAAATGTGATGCCTTTTCTTCTTTACATTATTTTACATATGGTATTCTTGCTACTTTATAACGTAGAAAAAAGACTCAGGAGGATAAAACAAAGGAGTAAAAATGCTATGGCTTACCTAAAATGGCAAGGTCTATTATTACAGATAACATATTAAGAATGTGTACAGGTTTTGATAATCCAGCATAATAATGAGGAAAGGAATTGAAACGATAGGTTATATTATTATTTCCTTATATATATATATAGTAATTGAGAAAATCATGTTTCAGTTAAATTCATTGATTGATTAAACTAAATTTAGCTGTGTTCTTTTATCTTCTGTAGAAATCATTAATCAGAAATGCTAAGAGAAAACAACATTGCTGGAATTAAACTCTATTTCTCTTGTCAACTGCTTTCTCGAGGTGCTAATTAATAGAGAGCTGACTCAGCAGGGGGTTTAGCAGTCAGAATTGAATTGTCATTCCTAAAGAAATTAAAGGGCTACGTTAATGATCCGAGATTCCAAATGTTCAACATGGGTGCACATACACATGTATATGCATGCACACACCCCCAAATACATATGTAGGCTATTTGTAAAGCATCTTACAGTTTACAGAGCACGTATAAGTGTATTATCTGGGTTAGTTTTCACAAACTTGTGTGGAAATTAGAAGAGGAATCTTTATTATTTTTCATAATTTAAATATTTATTATTATTCTGTGATTTAAATTTCATAGGTTAAAGTACCAGGGCAGTGAGCTACCTGCTTAAGATTGGGATTTGATCCCAGATCCGCTAGCCCTGATTGTGCTGCATGTTCCCTGCATATTGCCAGGCAGTACCACACATGGGCACGGCCACTGGATTCTGATCCCAGAATCCACTGGTTCTCTTCCCAGTTTTGTGCCTCTACTTTTCATTAACTGATTTGATCATCCTCATAAAGCTTTGTAACCAAGTGTTCTCAGTCTTAATTTCAGGAAGTATTTGCATAATGGAATGGCATAAGAAAAAACTGAAATGAATCCATTGATGGGAATTCAAGTCTCAACCCATATTTTACAGACTCTTCTCGAACTTTTTACACTACAAATTTCAGTGTTAGGTTACCTGTGACTACATTCTACATCCTTGTCAACATGCATTGAGCAAACAGATGTGAAGGATTATTTTATATCATCTGTAATTAATCTCAAACATTCATTGCTTAAGATTTTGAAGGAAAGAAGAGAAAAACATCCAGATTGTCATTCAGAGAGAAAGTTGCTTAAGGTCTTGTGACACAAGGAATTCTACTTCATGAATTTGTTTTCTCATCCTTGAAAAATTTGTTAGCTGTGTTTCTAAGAAATATATGACAATTCCTGTAGGTAACTGGAGAATGAATGTTTCTGTTTTCACCAGCTGGGATAAATTGTTAAAGGTGCAGGGAAATAAAATGAGGGAATAAGGAAAAGCAAAAAATTAAAAAAAAATCTTGGAGTTACTAAGGTGGCTTGAGGTGTCATGAAAAAAGTTGAAAAATTGTTTTTGTAAAGGTTTTCAGGGTAGGGCATAAGAAAAGTTATTTTTATTTTTTAAATATATTTTATCGATTATGCTGTTACAGTTGTCCCAATTTTTTTCATCTTTGCTCCCTTCCACCCCTCACTCCCTCAAGCAATCCCCCCATCAGTGTTCTGGTCCATGGATCATACCTCTAAGTTTTTTGACTCCTCCAGTTCCTATACTGTTCTTAACATCCCCCTGTCTATTCTGTACCTACCAATTTGTACTTCATAATTCCTGCACTTTTTCCCTCATTCTCCACCTTCCCTTTCCCAGCTGATAACCCTCCAAATGATCTCTATATCTGTGATTCTGTTTCTGTCTGCTTGTTGGCTTATTTGGTTTTTTAGATTTAGTTGTTTATAGTTGTGAATTTATGGCCATTTTAATGCTCATAGTTTTGATATTCTTTTTCTTAAATAAGTCCCTTTAACATTTTATATAATAATGGCTTGGTGATGATGAACTCCTTTAGTTTTTCCTTGTCTTGGAAGCACCTTATCTGTCCTTCCATTCTAAATGACAGCTTTGCTAGATAGAGTGATGTGGGTTGTAGGTCCTTGCTTTTTATCACTTTGAATACTTCTTGCCAGTCACTTCTAGCCTACAAAATTTCTTTGGAGAAGTCAGCTGACAGTCTTAGGGAAACTCCTTTGTAGGTAAATACCTGCTTTTCTCTTGCTGCTTTTAAGATTCTCTCTTTGTCTTCAACTTTTGGTATTTTAATTATGATGTGTCTTGGTGTGGTCCTCTTTTGGTTTCTCTTGTTTGGGACTCTGTGCTTCCTGGAATTGTATGTCTATTTCCTTCATTTTTTTTAAATGCCCTGAATTCTAGAGTCAGGAAGTAAATGAAAATGAGAAAATAATTAAAAAATAAAACCAAACCAAAACATAACATATATGTAAATATATAAAAGAGTTTAAAAAATTATAGCAATATTTTTTGTTTTCTACCTCTTTTTGTTCACAATCAAAACATAGGTTAAAAGTTGGTGCACTGACCTTATTACGAGTTTATTACCAAAGATAGGGATTCTCAATATCAAACAGGTCTCAAGCATGACTAAGAAACAGAGAATAGTTAATGAAAATTATCTTTATTTTTCAAATGTTAGAGGACATAAGAAAATAGATATTAAAGCGTTTTTAAAAGCAAAGTATATTCATTGAAATATTATTTAAATTCAACTCCCAGTGCTTACTTACTCATCTTAGCAATACTTTTCTTAAAATACTCTCTTCACAGGACTTCTCTTTCCCCATTCATTTTTCCCACACTGCTGGCTCCATCTCAGTCTTGACTGCTAAGTCCTTCTCATCCTGACCTCTCACTATTGGGCCACTTCAGTTCCTGATCTCTGTTCCGTCTGCTCACTCCCTGGGTGATATCACTAAGTTCCATGGTCATAAATACTGTCTGATGACTTCTCAGAGTCATACCTCCGGAGCCTTAACTTCTTCCACAAATGTGAGACTCATAAATTCAACTGCCTGCTTAGCATTTCTAGTTCATGTTCTAAACATAACTCTTGATTCCTTATAACCTGCCCTGAGCCTCTAAACCCCCTCCCCACCCCAGTCTTCTCTTAGTCAATGTTAGCTCCATTCTGTAGGTCAAAACACTTGATCATCATTCTTAAATATTTTCTTCCTACCATACGCCACATTCACCTCATCAGTGAATCCTGTTTGTTTAACTGCCTAAATAAATCCAGAATCCAGCCACATCTCACCGCCTTCACCACTACTGTCCTAATCCGGGCTACCAGCCCTTCCTTCCTCCATGGCTGACGCCATCACAGTTTCTGCTTACTCCGGCTGCTGGAAATCAGATTCTTTGACTCAAAACATACCCCCAGGTCCTTACCATAGCCCACTAGATCTGTAAAATATAGTGACCATTTCTTACATCCATTTCTCCTGCTTGCTCACTCCACTAGCAACAATGTCATCCTCACTGCTCCAGGTTTTCCTAACTCATGGCCTTTATACTTGCTCTCTTAGAATCCTCTGACCACACATGGTCATTTGCTCCTTGTCTTCATTCTTCTGTTCCACTGTCAACTTGAGAGAGGCTTCTTGTTTCTATTCCATTTTGGTTTGAATTAAAAAAATTGATCTAAAAAATTACACCTCTCTCTGTCATTTTTTGTTCCTCCCTTTATTTTTCTTTTTTAGCATTTATCACCATCTGACAAATCACTTGTATGCGTAAATATTATGTGTGTAATTTGTTAAGTGATGTGAAATTAATGAAATGATTTTTCTGCCATGTCTCCAGATTTGTCATAAAACAACTAATGAGGGAGGGAGGGACGGAGGGAGGAAGGAAGGAAGGTAGCGAGGAAGAAAAGCACAAACTTGGTTGTAAATGTGTCTCAGACCCTGGTTCCAGTGTTCTGTTTTGTTTTTCCTCTAGTCCACCCTTTTCTGGGATTGACCAAATGATGACCTACAATTTGATTCTCAAAGGAATTGAAAAAATGGATTTTCCCAGAAAAATAACAAGACGACCCGAGGATTTGATTAGGAGACTTTGCAGGTGAGAATGATAGAAATCTCTTGTTCCTGGGGAAAGTGGGAAGGCTTGTTATTTCTGTTCTCACACATTTTAAATTAGATGTATGTTTAATTATTTTTCTTTTACTTTTATCTGTAGCTAAATTTATTTAAAGTAAAATCATTTTCTGTTTTGCAGTCTATGCCATGAGGTTGAGTTTACCGTATGTTTTAGAATCACAGTACCTACTTATAATATAAAAGAGATTTGAAATTTTCAGATTACTTCAGGAATCATCTTTGTCTGTTATAAAGCAAAATGGGACCACAAACCTTAGCTTAATAAGGGATAATTAATTTACAATCTTTACAAGAAAATCAGTGGTGATGATAAAGTGTTACTATATGCTTTCTTTCAAGCTTCATTTTTTAAAAAACATACTCCTTTGGATTTATTTTATTTTATTATTTATTAATTTTTAAAGATATTTTATTTATTTATTTTTAGAGAGAGGGGAAGGAAGAGAGAAAGAGAGGGAGAGAAACATCAATGTGTGGTTGCCTCTGTGCTCCTCTCACTGGGGAGCCTGGCCTGCTACCCGGGCATGTGCCCTGACTGGGAATCGAACAGACAACCCTTTGCTTCACAGTCAAGTGCTCAGTCCACTGAGCCACACCAGCCAGGACTTATTTTATTATTATTTTTATTGAGGTATAATTGACATGTAATATTATATTAGTTTCACATGCACAATGCAGTGATTTGATATTTGTATACTCTGCAGAATGATTACCACAATAAGTTTAGTTACCACCCATCAACATACAAAATCACAAAAATTTTTCTTGTGATGAGAACTTTTAAGATTTACTCTCTTGGCAGCTTTAAAATATACACTACAATATTATTGACTATAGCCATGGTGCTGTAATTACATTACATCACCATGACTTATTTATTAGATAATGGGAAGTTTGGACCTCCTGGCCCCCTTCGCTCGTTTGTCCATTTCCATCCCACCTCTCCACTAGCAAGCACTGTTGTGTTCTCTGAAGCTATGAGTTCTGTTTTGTTTGTTTATGTTTTCTTTTAGAGTCCATATATGAGTGACATTCTACAGTATTTGTCTTTCTCTGTCAGATTTATTTCACTTGGCCTAATACCATCAGGGTCCATCCATGTTGTTATAAATGGCAACATTTCAAATATTTCATCTTTATGGCTGAGTAGTGTGTATGTGTATCTGTCTGTCTGTCTATCTACCTATCTCACATCTTCTTTATCCACTCATCCACTGATGGACACTTAGATGATTTTCATAGTTTGTTTATTATAAATAATATTGCAATGAACATAAAGGTGTGTATGTCTTTTTGAATTAGTGTTTTTACCTTCTTCAGATAAATACCCAGCAATTCCATTGCTGGATCATATTATAATTCTATTTTAATTTTTGAGGAATCTCCATGTTGTTTTTCATAATGATTGCGCCAATTTACATCTCTAACAACAATGTACAGGGGTTCCTTTTTTTCTACATCCTTGCCAACACTTATTTGTTGATTTTTTGATAGTAGCCATTCTAACAGGTGTGAGATGAAATTACACTGTGGTTTTGATTTGCATTTCCCTGATGATTCATTATATTGAACACTTTTTTTTCATGTACCTCGAGGTCATCTGTATGTCTTCTTTGGAAAAAAATGTCTATTTAGAATTTCTGCCCATTTTAGTTGGATTTTTGTTTGTTCCTTTTGCTATTGAGTTATATGAATTCTTTAAATGTTTTGAATATTAACTCCTTATTGGGCATATGATTTGCAAATATTTTCTCCCATTCAGTAAGATGCCATTTCATTTTGTTGACAGTTTCATTTTCTGTGCAAAATATTTTTAGTTTGATATGGGTCCATTTATTTTTGCTTTTGTTGTATTTGTTTTTGAAGTCACATCTAAAAATCATCACCAAGAGTAACGTCAAGGAGCTTACATCCTACATTTTTTTTTCTTTTAGTTTTAAGATTTCAGGTCTTAGATTTAGGTCTTTAATCCATTTTGAGTTTGTGTGTGTGTGTGTGTGTGTGTGTGTGTGTGTGTGTGTGTGTATGATGAAAATAGTGGTCTAGTTTCTTTTGCATGTGGCTATGCAGTTTTCCCAACACCATTAATTAAAGAGACTGTCTTTTCCCCTTGCCTCCTTTGTTATAAATTGTCCATATATATACATGGGTCTATTTCTGAGCTTTCTGTTCTGTTCCATTGCTCTATATGTCTGTTTTTATGCCAACTCATGTTGTTTTGTTTATAATAGCTTTGTAATATAATTTGAAATTAGGGAGCATGATGACTCTAGTTTTGTTCTTTCTCAAGATTGCTTTGGTTATTTGGGGTTTTGTGGTTCCATACAAATTTTAGGCTTGTTTGTTCTATTTCTGTAAAAATGCCTTTGGGATTTTGACAGGGATTGCATTGAGTCCGTAGATGGTTATGTGTGATATAAACATTTTTTTTGTGTGTGTGTGTTTTCATCCAAGTAATTTATATTTTTAAAATTTTTATTTAGTTATTTTTCAAGTACATTTTTTTGTCTATTTCTCCCATCCCCGCCCCCCCTGCCCTGTCTCCCCACCTCCCTCCCATTCCCCCCCTCCCCCCCAGTCCTCATCCCTGTGTCTTTCATACTTGTTCCTCAAAATTCCTCCCCATTTTTCCCCTTAAATCCCCTCTGGTTGCTGCCCACTTGTTCTCTATTTCAGTGTCTTTGTTTTTATTCTGTTTGCTTGTTTGTTTTATTCTTTAGCTTCCTGTCAAAGGTGAGATCATATGGTATTTGTCCTTCAATGCCTGGCCTATTAACAATATTTATTTTTCTAATTCATGAGCACAGAGTATCTGTTCATTTGTGTCTTCTTTGATTTATGTTATCAATGTCTCAGAGTTTTCAGTGCACAGGTCTTTCATCTTATTTACTAAACTTATCCCTAAGGTTTATCCCTAAAGAACATCCCTATTCTTTTTCATGAAATTGTAAATGGGGTTTTCTTAATTTCTCTTTCTAATAGTTTGTTATTAGTATGTAGAAACATAAAAAATTAGTCTCTATTTTATATATTTTATTCTGATCTTTATTATACTGATTTTTTACCCTTTAACTTTACTGAATTTGTTTATTCTAACAAGTTTTTTGGGGGACTTATTAGAGTTTTCTATATATAAAATTATGTCCATGAATAGTGACAGTTTTACTTCTCCTGTTCCAATGTTGAGGTCTTTTTTTCCTTCCTTAATTACTATGGCTAGGACTTCTAGTACTTTGTCAAATAAAAGTAGCAAGAGTGGACATCCTTGTCTTGTTCCTGATCTCAGAGGAAAAACTTAAAGCTTTTCACCATTGAGTATGATGTTAGCTGTAGGCTTGTCACATATGGTCTTTATTATGTTGAGGTACATCTCCTTACTTCATTCTTTTGAGGGTTTTTATACTAAATGGATATTGAATTCTATCCAATGCTTTTTCTGCATCTGTTGAGATTATCCTATGATTTTTATCCTTCATTCTGTTAATGTGGTATTTCACATTGATTGACTTGCAGATGTTAAACTATATTTGCATCACTGGAATAAATCCTACCTGATCATGGTGCATGCTTTGTTTGCTAATACTTTGTTGAGGATTTTTACATCTATGTTCATCAGGGATATCGGCATATAACTTTTATGTATGTATGTATGTCCTTGTCTGGTTTTGGTGTCAGGGTAATGCTGGGTTCATAAAATGAGTTTGGAAGTATTCCCTTCTCTTCAATTTATTGAAAGAGTTTGAGAACTGTAGGTATTACCTCCTCATTTGAAACAATTGGTAGAATTCACCTTTGAAGCCATCTGGCCTGGGGCTTTTGTTTGTTGAGAGGTTTTGATTACTGATTTGATCCTCTTACTAATGATCAGTTTATTCAGATTTTCTTTGTTTTTTCATGATTCAGTCTTGGAATATTGTATGTTTCTGGGAATTTGTCTGTTTCTTCTAGGTATGCAATTTGTTGATGTATAATTGTTCATAGAAGTCTCTTAAGATCCTTTTCATTTCTGTGGTATCAATTATAGCTTCTCTTTCCATTTCTGATTTTAATTATTTGAGCTTTTTTCTTTTTATTTTCTTGAGTCTAGCTAAAGATTTGTCAACTTCATCTTGTTATAGAACCAGAACTTAGTTTTGTTGATCTTTTCTGTTGTCTTTTTAGTCCCTGTTTCATTGGATTTTTTTTGCTCTTTATTGTTTCCTTCTTCCTACTAACTTTTGGCTTTGTTCTTCTTTTGATAGTTCCTTTGGGTGTGAAGTTAGATTATTTATTTGGGATTTTTTTTTTGTTTCTTGAGGCAGGCCTGTATCACTATGGTTTTCTCTCTTAGAACTGATTTTTCTGCATCCTCTAGATTTTGCTAAGTTGTGTTTATATTTTCATTTGTCTTGAGATATTTTTTATTTTTACTTGAATTTCCTTATTGACCCATTGGTTATTCAGTAGTATGTTGTTTAGTCTCTCCATAGTTAGGATTTTTCCAGTTTTCTTCTTGTACTTGTTTTCTAGTTTCATACCATTGTGGTCAGAAAAGATGCTTGATATGATTTCAGTCTTCTCTAAATTTATTGAGACTTGTTTTTTGCCCTAACATATGATCCGTCCTGTAGAATAGTCCATGTGCATTTGAAAAGAATGTGTGTTCTGCTGTTCATGGATGGGGTTTTCTGTAAATATCTATTAAGCCCATCTGGTCTAACGTGTCCCCTGTGTGGACCACACATGCCTGCTGTTTTTAGCAAGCAGTGGAAGAGCGTGGGGCTGGGGTTCACCTGCTGGCTTTTTTCTGGCTGCAGAAGAGCTCTGGGGTGGGCGTGCTCTCTGGCACTGTCAAGGTAGAGGGAGAGTGCAAAGATGGCACCTGCCAGTACCTCCATCCAGGAGAGAGTCTCAACAGGCCCCTGCCTCTCCAGCAGACACTTTAAGATTAGCAATTGCATTTCCTTTATGTATATATAGCCTATGCACTTCTCAAACTGCTGCTTTTGTACTGGTCCCTGGGGTAAATGAGTCTGTGTGCCAGCCCTTAACAGAAATATCTCAGTTCCCTACAGCCCTTTAAGCCTTCTAAATGTGAGTCTTATTTATTTTCAGAGCTAAACATTTTTGGGGTTCATATCTCCATTGAGGTTCCCAAGGGTTGGGCTGACTGATGTTGGGTATGAACCCCTTGCTCCTCAGGAAAAGATTTGGATTTGTGAGATCCCTCCTGATTGTTGGTTGCCATACTAGGAGTAGAGTTTTGGGTGAGACTGTGTCTCTGTGTCTCCTACCTGTCCTTCTACCACATGTTGTGAGAAAGCTGTTCAGCTACTTTTCAGGTCTTTTTCAGAGAGAATTGTCCCATATGTAGTTGTAGATTTGATGTGTTCATGCGAAGAAATGAGTTCAGGTTCTTCCTACACTGCCATCTTGGAGCATGCCCTGGCCTTATCACTCCAAATTTCTATTTACTATTAAAAATAGTTTACTGGAGAACAAATGAGTTATATAATTTTGTTTGAATGTTGTTGCTGTTTTTTACACATTTGAACATTTTTAAAGCATTAAAACTTTGTAAATATAGAACATGAAACCTAGCTGTGGGTTGCCACTAGAAATTTGTAGTGCTTACAGGCGAGATGTAGATGATTACCAACAGCTTTCCCTGATATTCTCAGCAGAGTTTGTGAGATAGTCCCATCTTGTTCTTTTACGTATTTATTTCTAGTGCACTTGAAGCACTAGAAGGTATAAAAGTATAGATAGAAATATAGATGTAGATAGTTACAGATATAATTATAGATATATATGTAGATATGTTCCTAACTCTAATTTGACTGTGGCTTCCCTAGAGAGGGACATGTGTTTTTTATCTCCCTCTAGTTCAGTGCCTAGTCTGTGAATATTATTGAGTAAATGAATGAATGAATGAATAAAGAAATGTTAAATTTTAATTTAAAATGTACTCAAGCATAGTTATTATAAATTGTCTTTTAAAAATATTCTCACTTTAGGCAAAATCCAACAGAAAGACTGGGAAATCTGAAGAATGGAATCAATGACATTAAGAAACACAGGTACATAGTTACTTCTTTGCCCAGAAATATATAGAAATTTATATAAAATGGTGGTGATCTTGAAGCTTCTCTCAGTAAGCCATAAGGATTTATTTACAGACTCTCAGTTTTTACCTTTTTGGTGCTTTATATTTAATTTGTACTCTACCAGATTCAGTCAGAATAATCTCAAAATGACTTCTCTAAATCTGGAAATTCATATCAAGAATGGATGAAGTTTAAAACAAGTTATAAAATAACATCTTCAAGTTATAACAACCTAATTTTTATCTACTGCTATCTTAATTATTATTTAAAGTATCAACTTGTAGTCTATAAATGAATTTTCTAATTTTCACATTTGATTTGTGATTAAAGTAGACTATAATTATTATCAATATTCAAGAGAACAGCTGAGCCAAATTAGCTACTAAATAGTATTGTATTTTGTTATTTTTAATATTATATATTAATATTAAATATAATTTTTCTTCAACCGGCATTTCAAAATCTGAAGCCTCGTGTTGTATTTTACTTTTTTGGGTAAAGTACACTGATTTTCACAAAATTTCAGTCTTTTGTCTTTATGCAGTAATTTAACATGGACCTTTTCAGTTCTGTGAATTTCTAAATTTGTCATTTAGAACCATAGATAACTTCTGTAAGATATCCTTTTTTAATTTGTTACATATATGGAAGTTGAAGCTTTCAAGATTGTTTTTTGAAATCAATGGCTATTTAAATCTTGCAATCCCCAAGACTTTTTTATTTTGCTTATGATTTGCACATATAATATACCACCTATTGCTAGTACAAAAAACGCATGTGGGAATTTCATTATTGAGAACCTTTGAGCACACTGACGTGTTCACTTTCAGAAAGGAAAACACCTCTCAGTATTGCATTCCTCTCTGGATTGGTTTTACTGAACAATTAAGGGCACATCAATACAGTGTGAAAATAAAGGGACAGATGCTGCTGGATAGAAGCACTGCTCATTTTCTGAACATTGACAGTGCAGCTGCCAACCCTGCTCTATCTATTCATGAACTTTCTTGAAATAAAGCCATGTATTCAACATTGTCAATTCAGAGAGGGCTCTGCCTTAAGGGTATATTAGGGAAGGAGAGAGGAAGGGAGAGAGAGAGACAGGCACATCTGTGGGTTATATTATAAACATGAAAATGTTTAGAGTATTTTATTGTTCTTTGTCATCTTTAGGATTGCCTTTAGTGTAAAGTTCATTACTCGTCTTAGGTTCCATTTTATCTTTCTTCCTACAAGCTGTTATCACAATATCTTATCTCATTATAACACAGCACGTAAACACACTGTTCATGTGGAACAAACAAGTGTCCTGTCGATTAAAGTTATGCTTTTAATATATTTTCCTCGCTTATTTCATTATAGAAGCATCTTCATCTTATTCTTTGGGGTAATTGGGAAATAGAGTGATATCATTGTTAATTGGCTCCAGTTTTATTTTGTACTTCTTATTTACCTGAGGCTCATTTAAATGTAACTGTCAAATTGTGATTGGGCGCACATGCAAATTGATGGCAGAGAATTTTCTCACCTCAGCATGGTAATAAAGAATTTTGAATTTTCTTCCCTGTAGGGATCAATTTGCCCATGCTTTTTAACAGGCAGGATGTTTTTTGCAATATGTCTGGGTAGTCATCAGATTACAATTTGTAGGGTAGAGTTCACTACTAAGACATGCCAGATTTACACAGTGACTTGTGGTGAGCTCAGAGGCATCAAACACATTATTTTATGCTATTTTCATGGTGCTTTTAAAATAAAAAGTTGGCACAGGGAGGCCTGAAGAATAGATCTCTCTCTGCCTTCAGATAGGAGCATTCTAAAACCTTCTACAAGTCCCCAAAGTTTATAGCTATCTACCCAGTATGCTCTTGGAATTAAAAAAAAAACAAACAAACAAACTTAAACATTTGCTATCAGTTTTTTCTATTCTTCTCTAAACAACTTTTATTTTTTTCTTATCTATTCCCTTTAACTTTGTATTTAAAACAATACAGTAAAACACAGCACATAGTTATATGTTTGCCCATTCTGTGTTAAATCATCTTCCCTAAAAATAGAATTCCTCCCTTCCCTATTTGTAAGCTAACTTACAAACTAGGCACCAATTTTGTCTCCCAACACCTTTTTGAAAAAAAGAGATGATATACTTGTATGGTACAATTAAATCTTTCCTGCTAGGTAGAGGAGTAATTTGTTTCTAGTACCTTCACATTACCTTTAATATTTCTAGTCTCTAAAATTACTTTAAAGAATAGCTTCTGCAGGCCTTCCAAAAATGAAGAAGCAATTTATGTGCTGTTGCTGCTAATATTTCTTTGGTGAATATTTTTTGCACAGGAGTGCATGCTGGCACTCACATCACTTAAAATGCTGTTAGTGTCAAAAGGCCAAGTGCTAAGTGAATAGCCACTCATGTTAAGTAAATATTGCTGCAAGTCAAGTTGTAACAAGTGCTTAGCAAGAAATGTATAGGCTCTTTGACTCAGTACAGTCACAGTAATGATTTTTATTCATATTTATGGAGTTGCTTCTTGGAAGAGAGCATTGTAAAATATGTTAAAAGGAATCGTGGCAGTGTTTGGTGGCAAAGGAAAAGAATCCACAGAACTGTGAGCCTGGAAATCCCTAAAAATGGAGTGTCAGTCAATGCAAAGAAGATGATGGTGGGTCAAGGAGAGGACACCTGTGGTTTCGTAGTGAGGACTGGGGGGGTGGGGAAGCTGCACAGCCGGGTTGCTGCATGACCCCCACTCTTTGTCTAGTATATCAGCAACTCATACCAAAATGGCATTTGGAGTTAAGAATGAAACCTGAAATGGAATGTACTAGAACCAGCTCTTTCTGTTTTTTGCACTTTTTCTCTTGCTAAACTTAGACTTGGAATGGGAAATCCAGTCAAGTACTGAACCAACACCAACAGCGGGGTGGGGGGGGGACGACATTGAGAAGGGTGGAAGGACATAATTTGTGGTGTGGCCAACAGACAGGGGAGTGTGACAGCCTCCTAAAGTCTCCCTGGCCTTCAGTCTCACACCTCACCACCCTCTGTCCCATGCTGTCCCCTATTGCCAATCCCCAGATGTCAGCCTTGGAGTGGAACAGGGGGTAGAACAGGGAAATCTAGGCTGATTACTGGGCAGTGGTAAGTGCTCCATGGGTTCAGTGTGAGACCAGACAGCTAGGACACTGACCACACTGCTGTCAGGCAGCAGACAACAGAATGGAGGGACAGACAGCTGACATGTGAGTAGTTTTCAGGCAAGTAATATTTCTGTGCTTTCCTCATTTTTCAGGTGGTTAAATGGTTTTAATTGGGAAGGACTGAAAGCTCGGAACCTTCCATCACCTTTACGAAGAGAGGTATGGTATCTCCTATATTACTCTCGTAATTTTTGTATGCATTTGTTTTTGTGAACAGATTTTAAGGATGTGTGTGTTTGTGTACCAGGTTTTAGATTTTTAAAATAGTACTTTAGAATTAAGTTAAAATGCCATAACAGTTGTGATTACAGGAACTAAATGGTATTACCTTTTTAGTGTGCATTAGTTCAGCTCTCAGGAATCAATTACATATAAATCTAAGACCTCAAGTTGTCAGTGTGTTAGGCTGACAGATGGCTCTAGAAATATAGTATGAACCATATAGGTTATTTGAAATTGTCTTGTAGTCACGTTAAAAGAGGTAAGAAGAAATAGGTGAAATTAATTTGAATTACACACCAAAATATTGTCATTTCAATAGATAATCAACATAAAATATTAATGAGGTGTCATTGTTATTTTTTATACTAAGTTTTCACAGTCCCAAGTGGTTACACTCTCAGCAAGTCCGTTTGGACTAGCTGCATTTCAAGTTCTCGGTCACCCTGTGGGGCTGGTTGGACAGACGGCTTTAGAGAAAGCAGAACATTTGCAAACTAAGGGGGAAAGATGGCCCAAGAATGACCTGGGTCAACACCCTGCAAATGTCACGCTGTCCTCTGGCTAGAGGATTTCAGAGATCTGTCTCCCTTGTGTATTTTTACATTGACCTCTGAATTTTTTCATACATTTAAGTTGTTGTGGAGAATATAATTTCTAGGATGCTGGAAATATCAAAATTTTAAAGTAATCCGCTACTGTTACTTTACCCCTTTAAATATATGCAATGTAACATAACTATCACTGAGATTTGGCACCAATCAGACATTAAAAAACACAGATAGAAAATTACATCATACCTTTTTCTCTGAATTTATATTTCCACATTACCATTCCATTTTCCTTCAAAATGTCATTCTAATATAAAATATTTGTATGCTTGGCAATCTTTAGTCAATCATTCTTTAAATGCCTTTCAATTATGGTTTTATAAATTTTAAAATTCCTATGACAACAGAATTTTTTTGGCAACACGAATATTTCTTCTGGGTTCAGTTATAATTATAATTTTATAGCATGCAGTGTCAAACAACATAAATATATTATAAAATTTTGAAGTCATTATTAAATGATTTTTATGAAGATAATATTTAATGTGCTTGTGGATAAATTTTATTTATTTAAAAATGGACTCAGACTTCACATCAATTTTATTTATTTTTAAAATCATGTAGATGCAAGTGGTAAGAGTTTTGTTCACATACATAAATACTTGAGAGTGGAGGGTTTTATAATAGCAATGGCACTTTGAACGCCTCTGCGTGATCTCCGCATCCTCCCCAAAACACATATGGTCAATCATAAATAGTATTTTTAATGATCTATCATCTGATAATTCAATTAGCTACTTCTTACATTTGTTGGAAAGTAAAGATTTAGAAACCATATAATTTGCAAAAGAGTCATTTCACTCTTTCAAGAGTCAATAGTATTTTGAATTGTTCCTTCGTTTGGCATTCTGGAAAATTTATATGGTCAACTAATTATATAAAAATTCGAAGTTGGTAAAGAAAATTTTATCAAGTGCAAGGAGGATTCTGGAAAATTTTGATTTTTTAAAGTAACTGCTGTCGTATTTTTTTTTAGAAGTAAAGGGCCAGGTAGCTTCTTCTACTGCATGTAATCCAGTGACCTGACCCATTTGGTCCAAGTCTAAAGGGGCTATCTCATGAGGCTGAGAATGTGACTCAGAAATGACAGTTGGTCACCTTTTCCTTATATGTAACTTACCAGTAGTTGCAGTTCAACATCTGTGGTCAGACATGGAAAGCATCACCGGAATGTTACAGCATGCTCAGTCAGCATCATTCTTACCTTTGCTTTAATCTTTTCCCCATTAGCTCAGTGGACCCACAGATCACAGCTACTTTGACAAGTATCCTCCTGAAAAGGGAGTGCCTCCAGATGAGCTGTCAGGCTGGGATAAAGACTTCTGACAGAAAAAAAAAAAGATGAATACTGCCTGTCTACTACAGGAGATGGCGGGGAGCACCAATAATCCAGTACTGATGATTTCTCTCTCTGGAGTGTTAGGATATCTTTTGGAAGACCATTGGGAAAAGAAATCCCTGCCCACGAGCTGGGGTGGATGACAGTAGGTACAGAGGTGGTTCGGAATTATAATGTCTTATTTAGATGCTGTGAATTATTCATGTAATTCTGTTTTTGTTTTTCTCAAGTGTTGAAGGCTATTCTATCCACAGTCAGAACCATTTTTGTAGAAGGGGTGCAGTGTTCTCTGCAATAGATTTCCCTACCCCCATCATATCCCTCTCCTTTGAGTCCTAATAAGGTTTCATAGTGTCTTGCCCTTGAACAACTAAGTCACACAAATGGTGTCAAGAAAAAGGGTGAATTTTGGAAGATTTCACCTGCTCTCAACAACTCCATGTAAGCATGATGGCATCTAAAATTAGCAGTTTGAAGAAATATTGGGAGTCAAAAGAGGCTCTTGACTTTTACTGGTGTTCAACCTAGAAATGGGTTAATGTGCTTCTGAGATTAGTCTGGGGAAAGGCAAGTTTGCGTATTTTAGTCAGTGGCACTGCTCCCTAAAATATATGAGTTCATTAATCCAACAAGGTAAATGTAGTATATTGGGGAACTTAAAAATAAACAAAGCAACAAGTGCTTTTTGTTCCCCTGTGACCAGCTGGGATAACTTGGAGAGTTTCCAAAGCTTTGTTAAAGGTGGTTTTAATGCGCAGTTACATAGTGGGCTTTCAAAAAGGTTTTATCTTATAGATTAAGTGTTTTTACAATCAAAGTAGAAATCATGCAGGAAAAAAATTGTGAAGTCTTTTCCTTCACATTAAATATGGAGGAGAGTAAAGTCTGATAGGTAAGGTTGCTGACTCGGAAACTCTTGAGATATTTCGTCCACTTCTGTGATTGTCGCTATTAATAAACCAAGAGTAAAGACTAAGCACAGTTAATTTTTAATGAAGATCCCATTGGTAAATGTTGATGCACTGTAATCACTGTTGGCATTAGATTGTTACAGCAGGCAAGGTGCTGGAGAATGCTGGGACTTGAGAAGTGAAAGGGTTATCTAGCATCTGCCCTCCTCCCATCTCCTCTGCACAGTCTTCCAAATAACCAAGAGAGTAGTTTAATAGCTTTGGCTGGCAGTGCCTAAGGACCACACTAGGAAATGTTTCTGTGTATCAGCGAGGATCACTTCCTCACCCCCCTTCCAAAACAGATAGGAAGCAGACTTTCTCTGTATTTTTTGACCTGGGAGAGTAAAAATACCATTAAGTTAGTGCACGATTCAAACTTCTGGCTATATTCTCATATCCAAATTTCCTATGGGACTAGCATCCTCTACCCATACCCCACCCACATTTTCTCCATTCAAAGAGAGTCAGCTCCATGCCTCCTAAAGAGTTAAACCAGATGAGAGAAGCCCAACACAAGAAGGTGCATCCTTAACAAATTGAATTTCCACATTTAGAATCCTTTTGCTGAACCAAAGAAATTTTGTTTCCTGGAGTAGTATTTTTAAACATTATGTATTGTACATAGAAAAAAACATTTTTAATAGGATAAACATAACCTGCTTAATGAATTTCTAAGATTTTTTAAAGATTTTTATTTGCATTTGGTTTGTAAGCACTGTAAGTTTTTCCATGTATATATTTTTAAATTACTCACCAAAATGTAGGTAATTTATGTATTGGATTGATATTAAAATTGTACAGTTATAATAGCAATGATATTCTTAAAAGAGATCAAGAGTTGTAATTCAAGAGAGACTTGCATATATACAAATAAAAACTGACTTAGTTTACTACAGGTATTTTGCCTGTGACTAGCCATATCAATATGAAAAATTCACTTGTGATTTTATTGTGTTTCTTTAGAGTGTTTTAGAAAAACAAAGAGATGAGAGCTTGAACTACTGTATAATCCCCATTTCACTATTTCCTAGCTGGGCGACTTTGGCAAAATGACTTCATTTCTTTGAAAAAGGAACAGTAAAGTAATACCTACTTTAGAGGCCTGTGTGGGGGGATTAAATAAGCTGTCTAGAGCGGGCTTTGGTGAAGGCTGTGAAATGATCAATGCTACATAGAGGGGAGCTACTGCCACTATCTCTGTTAGAATTAAAGGGCCTTAATAACCTTTTAGTGCAGAACCTTATGTAGCATTTGTATCTGTATGCACAATGTATCAATTAAATCCATGATCTACCTTTTCTTTCTCTTTAAAATCATGATGTAAAAATGGTTGCTCAAAGGCTGATATATAAGTTGAAGAGTTAACCCTTACCAAAATGAAGTGCTTTAATAAGAGCTCACTAAATATATAAATTTAATTTTTTTATGAATTAAGAATATATACTTTATTTCTTCCTTAGGATGTACAGAAAATTATCCTACTACATACACACTTATTATATTCCTAATTGTTAAATCACTGTTACCCTTGCTTTTCTAGTTGCAAAGTTAATTTTTCATTCTTGAGCCTCCCCTCTGTGGGGCCAGCTTTTCGTAATTGTAGTTGCATAACCTTTTCTCCAAATTTAAACTGTCTGGAGGGAAGAGGATGTAGTGGTGAAAAGTAAGAGATCTGGTATCAGAAAGGTCTGGGCTGAATTCTAGCTTCGTTCAGATTTGCGTGACTTTGAAAAACAAACCACATCCTTTTTCATCTGTCACTCAGAGATGCAGAAGAAAAGCCTTTAAACATTGGCCAGCATCTAATTACTTGTTGGTCACTGAAAATAACCCTTTGGAAATGGATACATACATTTAGTTCTTATGGCATAATAATAAATCCATGCTCTTTATTGCCAGGCATTGTACCAGGAATATTTGCATCAGTTATCTTGTTTGCATAAGATTCTAAAATAATTATAAACACGTTGACAATTGACTGCTCTTAAAGCTAAATATAGACCTCAAATACACATTTCATTCACAATTTAGCTGTGATGTTTTTACACGGCTCAGCTCCACTTACTATGACTATAACAAATTGCCCCACGACTTAGTCACTTGGAACAATCATTGTATTACTCCTCTAGATTCTCTGGGTCAGGAACTTGAACAGCACATGGCAAGGATGACTCTTCTCTCTGCCAGAGTACCTGGGCCATCAGGTGGAGAGACTCAAAGACTGGGTTACTCAATGCCTGGGAGCTAGAATCGCCTGAAGGCTTGTTTACCCACGTATCTGGAGCCCATGCTGGGACTATTCAGACAGGAACAGCTGAAACAGGGTGCCTGTACAAGTCCTTTCCTTGGCTAAGAGTCCTCACATCACAGTGTCCTTAATCCAGTCAGTACTGCCCTTTATGATCCAGCCTTGGAGTCATCCAACATCACATCCATCATACTCTGTCAGTGGAAACCCAAGCCCACCCAGATTTGAGAAGAGGGAATATAGGCTCCATTTGTTCATGAAGGGAGTTTTGAAGAATTAGCAAGCAAGTCTCAAAACTGCCATGGCCCACTTTCTGGCCACCGACTACTTATCTTACCACCATTTGCAAAATAAATTCATTCCCTTCCTAGAGCCTCCCTAAAAATGTCATCCCATTATAGCATCAGGGTCCAGGAACTCGCCATATAAATCCATTCAGGTGGGGATGAGGTTTCTCAGGTGTAATTCCCTGGATATATTCATTTAGGCCCGAAAGCCCAGGGATGAAGTAGAATTTAGTCATTTATCCTCACACTGACAGCATAGAATGGGGAGGCAGTCCCAGGAGAACCGCAACAGATCGCTGCAGTCAGTGAGGGGGCTGGGAGGCACGCAGTGGTCACTGGTCCATAGAATTCTAAAGTTGAGTGTGATGCATGTTACCATTTCCACTCCCTGAGTTACCATCCGTAGCTCTTACCTCCACCTTATAGAATCTGGGGTCTGCCTTTTGAGCCATTGTTACTTTTTTCTAAGATGTGGCTGGTATTTACAACTGAACAGATTTCTCAGCCTGTTTTCTGCTTGGGAATGTTTGATGGTAGAGATGCCTCTTTTCTATCTCTGTCCCTTTATTCCAAGCTGATACAGTTCCTTTAAAAATTTTGTGAATTTCCAATTCATATTCATGATTCACTACATTAGACCAAAGCTACGCTCACAAATATTTTCTGTGATGATGTTGCGGGAAAAACATTCTTAGACATTCTGTTTTTTAAAAGTGAGGGTATGCATAGCACATGCTTAAAATGCTCCGGAGGCCTTGGGTCTGTTAGGAAGGGTGTGGCAGGCTCCCACGATTCCTGCTTATGGTATTCATGCCACTTTATAATCTCCTCTCCTGGAGTGTTGACGGAAATGAATGACTTCCTTCTAACAAACAGAATATAATAAAATTGATAGGGTGACCCTTCTGAAGCTAGGTTACAAAGTGATCTGCTTCTGTGCTACTTACCCTACTTCTGTGCAAGGAAGAAGCTCTCTCGCTTGCTCTGATGGCAGCTAGCTTGCCATGATATGACTTCTCTGTGGACAGGCCCATGTGGCAAATATCTGAGGGAGCCTCTGGCCAACAGCCAGTGAGGAAATGAGGCCCCCAGTCCCACAACATGGGATGCGCTGAATCCTGCCAACAACCACAGGAGGGAACTTGGAAGCAGATCCTCCACCAGTCGGGCCTCCAGGTGAGACGGGCGCCCTGGCCAACACCTGGAGTGAGAGGCGATGAGCCACAGGAGCCAGATAACTCCCAAGTTCCCGACTCACAGAAACTGTTAGATAAGACGTTGTTTAAAATTACCTAGTTGGGAAGGAAAGACGGACATGAAGTGGGGGAAGTGTGAGCAAAGCGGACGTAAGAGGACAAATTGGAATTCTGAGGAAAATCTGAATGTGTGATAGCAAACCAGAACCCATGAGGACCAACTGGAACTTGAATCTGCCCTTCTTGGTTTCCAGCACTAGATCAGATGGCCGGCCTGCAGAATAAGTCGGCACGTTTCACATATTCCTAGCTTGGGATTTTACAGATGCAGAAGGAGCAACCTGGCTGGAGATGGAGGCACCACAGACCTGGCTGCTGCCCCTCACCAACAGATGAGTCAGCAGATCAGCAGCAATGTGCATGGACTGTAATAGCACTTGGTCTTTCCCCTGGCCTCCAGAGTGTAATATGGCTGCTACTCTCTTCTGCATTTCAGGTCTTATGCAAGTTTCTCTCGTAGCAAAGTTGAACTCAGAACCATACCGAGAAGGGAATTCTGGAAGACTTATTTATGGCTTAGCTAAACTGACACAGGACAAAGTCATTCAAGTTCAAAACTAGTGAAATATATAATATATAATCCTTATATAATTTATTTACTTTTAATTTTTAAATAATGAGGTTTCCTTC